TTGTGTTTTGGAGTAAGGAGGTTCTTGAGATAGTTACTTTCCTTTGATTGAGTTTACTTATAACAACAACTTCCATTCAAGTATTGGAATGGCACTGTTTGAGGCTTTGTATGACGAAGGTGTAGGATGCCTTTGTGTTGGTATGAATCTGGTGAGAGTGATGTGGTTGGACCTGAGATAGTTCAACATACTATAGATAAGATTAAGATTATTCGAGAAAAGATGAAGATTTCTCAGAGTCGTCAGAAGAGTTATCACGATAAGAGGAGGAAGGCGCTTGAGTTTGAGAAAGATGGTCATGTATTTCTAAGGGTTACTCCGGTAACTGGTGTTGGTAGAGCTTTGAAGTCCCGTAAGTTGACGCTGCATTTTATTGGTCCTTATCAGATTTTCGAGAAAGTAGGTGAAGTGGCATATCAGATTGCTTTGCCACTATCACTTGTTAATCTCCATGACGTGTTCCATGTATCTCAGTTGAGGAAATACATTGCGGATTTGTCTTATGTTGTCCAATTAGATGATGTGTAAGTAAGAGAAGATTTGACTGTTGAGACATCGCCTATGCGGATAGAGGATAGAGAAGTGAAGAAACTCGGAGTTAAGGAGATTGCTTTGGTGAAAGTGGTTTGGGGAGGACCGACATATGGTAATGTGACTTGGGAGATGGAGAGTCAGATGAAGGATTTGTATCCCGAGTTGTTCGTTTGAAGTAATTTTTTAGGACGAAAATCTTTTGAGTGGAGGAGAGTTGTAACACCCTGATTTTTATTTGCTGTTATTTAATTATTTTATTAATTAGTATATTATATAGTAATTAATTTAATTGTGTGATTTGGTGAATATTTGAATTATTTGAATATATGTGTTATTTAAATAATTGAAATTATGAGTAAGAATAGTAAATAATTAGAATTGAGTTTTATGTCATAATAGAATGGGTGAGTGGAATTAGGTCCATTAATGAAATAGGTAGTAAGAAGAGGATAATAGAGATTAGATGTTATAATTGTAAGAAGAGAAAAGAAGAGAAAAGAAGAGAAGAGAAGGGAAGGGGAGAAAAGAGGAAAAGTGAAGAGGCGACCCTAAAGACTCTACATTCAAGGTAAGTATGAGAATCTATGTTATTATGGGAGTATATGATTGGTAGTAACATGGAATAGGATTGGGTATGTGAATTTCTAGGTTTTGATTCATCCAATTTGATTTAGGGATTTGGAAATTTGGTTGTTAAGATCTAGTTTTTATGATACAAATAGGTTCTCTATGATATATACATGTTAGAATATGTTTACTTTGTGAAAAATGGGCATTAGAACATGTCTCTATGGTGATTTTCATGCACAAGTCAGAAGCTATTCGCAGCAGATTTTTATGGTTTTCACAGAGGGCGTTTAGCGCGGGTGGCTGTACGTAAAAAAATTATTTTATACATGAATGAGATTAGAATCTTGTATGTTATAATTTATCATGGATTTACATGTATTTTAATAATTTATTTGACTTGATTCGGATTGATTTTGGAAGCATTTTGATGAGAAACGTAACACTTGAATTGTGTATGTAAGTGTTAGAATTTGATGATGTTTGAATATAGCATGATTTGTATCTAATTGCTACATGTTATAATGATGTGTTGAGATGATTTATACTATGAGATTATGTATATGTGATTGATTGGCATGAAAGATGTATGTTGTGTAATATTGTGAAGATAATTCAAAATATGTTGAATTATGTGATGAGTTATTATGATGAGTTGTTGATATTGTACATGTACATGCATCATTTGTGTCAAGAGGTAAGGTTTGGTGATTCTGTGGGAAATATTGACTTGTCCCAAATCTAACGCTGAATGGGGTTTGAAAGTTTAAGGCTGAATCGAGCTTTTATTAGTGGTTATCTGTCTTGGTGATGTGGATTTGGCAGGACCGATAAGGATAATATTTGGTACCACATGCATAATGCATTTGAGTTGCATTGGAGTCACATGTGTCGATGTTAATTATTGATTTATTGTGTATTATGTGATATCGGTGTGAATATTATGGTTGGTGCAAAATGTGTGATGATTGAATTGATTGATATACTTGTGATAATGGTGATTGATTACATTTGAAATATGAATGAATGAGCTATGTTGTATATGAGAACATGTATGATGATTTATGTTTATGTCAAATACATGACTATGTGAAGTGTGGTGAATTTTATTATTGTGCGTATGTTTTACATTTTTTATGATTATATATTTTCATAATAATATGAATTATCACTCTTCTGTTGGAATGATATTTTATACGACATCGCTCGGGTACCGGAGATAGCGGTGCTTCTTTCCAGGATTAAATGAGGAGCTAGATCCTTATTTATCTACTTATTCCTAGGTAGTGAGTCATTGCTCTGGTCTATGTAACATGTGGGATATTCAAAATCATGTTTGATTTTTTTTAAGAGATATTTGTTATTACTCTCTTTTATTTGGATATGTATGAGATTATGTGATGTTTGACCTCAGTGCTTAGTACTTATGATATGATTGTCAGTATGAGATTTCAATCATTTATATCTTTATGTTGAGATGATTATTCCGCTGCGAAATGCAAATTTTGTATTGGTGTATGAAACATGAATTTGAAAATACGTGTTATGATCATGACCAATATGCATGCTTGAATTTTCTTTATTATTTTGTTAAGTCATTTGTGGCGCCCTCTTTGAGATGTATGCTAATTTACTCTGATTATGTTGTTTATGTCTATGTGGAGTTAGGGGGTGTTACAAGAAGAGTGTTGGGATTTGTTGTCTATTTTTTCTAACATATACATGATCTGGTTTATAATGTTCTATAGATTAAGGCATAATAGAAAACTTAGGTAGAGTAACCATATCATTCATGGCAGGAGAAACACATGAAAATATAAAGTTATTATGAAAAAATGTCACATTCATAGAAATACGAAAAAATGATAGTTAGAGACATCATAACACATAAATCCCTTGTGAGAGTGACTATATCCCATAAATGCACATTGAATAAATTGTACTTCAAACTTATGCCTTTCAAATGGAGGTAAGTGAATAAAACACACACACTCAAAAGTGTGTAAAGTACTATAATCAGGATGAATTTTAAATAGACAAAAGAAAGGAGAATCAAAATCAATAACCGTAGAAAGAAGACGACTAATCAAGAAAACAATTATGGAAAGAGCCTCCACCCAAAATCGGAATGGTATAGAAGCTTGGAGAAGCAATGTGCATTACATCAAGCAAATGACGATTCTTACGTTCTGCCATGCCATTTTGTTGAGGGGTATTATAACAAAATCATTGAGACGAGATACATTTTTGTTGAAGGTATTCTTGAATCTCATGAGACATGTACTCACCACCAGAGTCAGAGACAAAAAGTTAACAATTGCTTGAAATTGAGTTTCAACATATGTCAAGAAATTTCTTAAACATAGAAACACTTCAGATTTAGATAGAATAAAATATATCCAAGTATCAATAAACGTGACAAATGGACTTTGAGAGTTGTGTGATGGATTAGAGGTGATGGAATGATTGGTGGTATTTGAGGAAGAATCTGAATTTAGATTGTCATCCATGGAATAAGAACAAAGACATTTGAAAAAGAAGAAGCAAGAATTAGGGACTTGAAAGATAGGGTTTGAAAAAAAAGAGAAATTTTGTGTTTGATTAACGTATACAATATTACTCTAAGTATTAAGAGTTAATTGAAGAATTGAAAATAATTAGATTTTATTTATTGAGAAAAAGATAATTACAAACATGATAATTAGGTATTTAAGTATGATTAGTATTACGATATAAATGATCTAACCCAACTAAGAATATGCTAACCAACTAACTGACACAACTAATAGCATAACAACATTAGACAAGTAAACTCATAGCATAACATAATTGTAGTCTAATAGGTATCATATTTAAAATGAGAATTTCTTTTTCTATATGGGTGCCTTCTTGTAGTCTCTGGCGAAAAATTCAAAATACTTTTAAACTATCTGAATGCACTAAATTTAAGTTTTTTAGGAGTTTGTTCGAATATATATATATCTGAAATAACTCAATATTTCATTTTTAGGGGTTCGTTCCGATATGGATATTTGAAATAACTCAATATTCCAAATTTCTTACGTATATATGTATTTAATATAGATGATATCTATAGTTTATAAATTATTTATGATTTTTTTACAAGAAACAATTCATTTAATATTGAATATCCTATTTTAATATTATTAATTATTAACATTCAACTTTTGATTATAATATAAATATCTTTTTAATATAATAAATTTTCTAATTACAACATAATAATTAATTATCAATTCTATAATAAAAATTAAAAATTATCATCTAAATTAAATATAACTTTTAAAGTTACAATTAAAAAATATTTCTTATATTTTTTATTAAAAATTATTCATAATTTTAAATAAAAATTAAAAGACAATTACATTTCTCCATTATAATTAAAAATTTAATTATTGCATTCATTGTTTAATTTCATATCATAAATTTATTTTAATATTTAGTTTTTCAATTATAAACTTAAGTTATTCTTTATTATCAATAACTCAATTTAGTTATATTATAACTATATTATAAATAAATATCTTTTCAAAATAAAATCAAAAAAAATTTGAGATATTGGACTATTTCGGATATGAATATTCGAAATCTCCTTAAAAATGAAATATAAAGTTTCTTTCGGATATACATATCCAAAATAATTCAATCCCAAATTTGCAAGGTACGTTCGGATATGAACATTCGAATAACATTTTCGGATTTTCAAGAGCTTAACTCAATATGATCAGGTGGGAGAAAGAAATTCTCATTTAAAATTGAGTCTCTTCAATGTTTTGTTACATTTATGGTAGAGTTATTTGCTTCTCCCTTTTTGTTACTAAATCAAACACTAGATATTCATTTCAACTATAGTAGTATCAATCTCTTTTTTTTTTATATTACAATTGAAGTTCATAGAAACCTGGAATCATAAAACATAATTTCCTGTGCAACTTAGAAAGGAACTTAACTAGAGCAAAAAAAAATGAAGAAATAACAATGTACAAGCTACATGCTGTGGTATAAGAATACAAACTAGTATAAGAAACATGTACAAAATATACTCGCACGACCATGATCAAGAGTTTAACAGTTTTGCACCGACACTGTAAACCGGCATTATATAGACATCGGTTATATTTTACCATTTTGTCGCAGTGTAATCGTATTTGGAGTCTGTGTAAACCTGTTTACAGTGTCGATGCGTAGTTATTAAACTCGGATAGTAAACATAAAAGGGTCAGCTAGTTGACACTTTCAGAAAATCTTCTGCTTAAGGAAGGAGAAGAATTGATAATCTCTTGGCCAAGTTCCTTTATTTTGCTAAGAAGAAGCATTTGCTCAGTCTCTAGCTGAGATACATATCCTTCCTGTGTGTCTTCGAGAGTTTCGAGCTCACTCAATGTTGAAGAGAGTCCTTCGAGATTTCCATCTTCTATTAATGACCTGAACTTGATCATCATCTGTTTTATCTGATAAAGTTAAATTTAACATGATGTATTAGAATAACGGCACAGCATGAAATGCTTTTTAAAAATATAGTGAAACTGTTCCCGTGGACCTAAGTAACTACCTCTGTAGCATCGACACCTCTGAAAAAAGGAGTGTTAGTGTCGGTGTCGGTGTTGGTGTTGTGATTACGTTTAATTTATTCATTTTTCAAATTATTATTGGTGTCTGCATGTCATTGCCGTGTCTGTGTCCGTGCTTCATAGGTAAGGGAAATCTCACCTGGGTTGGAATTTGGTGCAATTTACTCAAAGAAGGTTCAGAGTCTAAACTTTGCCTCTTGTGCATCTCTGGAACTTTTCTAGTAATTTGAATGTGAATTTCACCTCTTTTCACTCCTTGAAGAGGTATCCATTTATCAGCCATTTGGTTTGGAGGTAACCTTTGATATTCTACGACACATTCACCGATACTTGATGTAGGTAGTAATGCATTATGGTCTTTCACATAAAGTATTAAGGGACTTCCATCATCAGGGAACTCTAGTGTCTGGTTCCATTGAGGGGTTAGAGTTTTGTATATAACCTGCCAAACAATTTCACAGTTAGAATTAAGCAATGTTATCAAACTCAAGAGTCTACTTAAACTCCTGGACTCTCTGTACACTTGACTCGTAGACTTAACTCGTAAAGTCGTATGATGTACTAGAAATAGAATTTAGATTCTACACTCAATTTCATAGAAAAGAAACCACTGATGAAGTATACCAACCTTTGTTCTTTTCTTGAAATTTCCATAGTGTACCCTAACATACGGATCACTCGTGCCTCTAAGATCGGCGGCAACAAGATCTCTACCTTCAATCAAAACAAGTTCTATCCAACCACTTCCTGAGCCTGAACCCTGGCCATCATCAAAGGAGTGAATCATGTTAGAATCAACATCCAAGATGTAAAAAATCCATAATGGTGTAAATAAAAGTGAAAGATTAGCACTTATATAAATAAGTGTTTATTCTCTAAGTGCTTAATTAAGTTGTTTATCCGAACTGAGCATAAATAAATATAAGAATCACTAATTTCTGACTGATGAAACGCACCGTTGATCCTTCTTGATCATCCGCCTTTACGGCTTCTATTTTAAGTCTGATTTCTCCCGAACGCACTCTCTCAAGAGGGATCCATACATCCCTGACCGATCCATCAACCAGTCCTTCCAAATTTACTTGTGCACTACCAATGTTTTCGTCTCCAAAAAGCTCCTCGGTAAATACCTTTAGTTTTAAGTATTCACCGCCAGTAATCTCATCAAATTCAATTGTCTGATTCCAGACGGGATTTGGAGTATGAGAAGTCTTGGTTTTCTGGATAACCTGAAAAGATTATTAACAACAGAATAAGATAAGGCAAACATTTGTATAGTGGAGACTGTCGTAGGCAGTGCTACTTACCTTTCCATATTGCACTTTAATGTATGGATCAAATTTTCCGGACTTTTCTTTTGCAGCAGCAAGATCCCTTCCTTCTACAACGGTTATGTTAAGTTTCTTTCCAGTTTTTAACTGAAGATTAGATGATCCATTTAGTGACGTCCGAGAGTTGTTACGGAGATTGTTCAAGCTATGTGTTCCATCGGAAAATTGCCACTCTTTTACTACGATGCTCACCTTCAACTAAAATATGAAGAGAAGAGGTAAGATAAATGAGTGTCTAGTTCAATACCTATTTTATCTTCACTCATAAAGGTAAGAAATTGTGCCTTAACGTAATCGTAAAATATTGTACCTCTCCAAAGTTGGCACCCTCAAATGGGACAACCATTTCAATTTCATCTCCACAAAATTGTGCTTGCTTTGCTATAATCCCGGAATCGGGTCCTATCGCCCACATTATTGTCGAATCATCTTCAACATGCCGCATCTGCACAAAGACACCAACATTAACTTACTATACTGTCTATTGCAGGCACCATAATACAATAATAGCATAGCAGAATTTGAACAAATCGCTATTGTTCAACGATATGCTATATAGTACAAAGTATTGTTAAATAACGTTTATACTCTAAAGCAGTGTTATATTACTGTAGCGTAATGGAATACACTGAATAAGAAAAAATTGATGAAATACTACCTCTGGTTCTATTTATAAGAAAAAATTTACTTTTATGTACCAGGACAATGTATTGATGTCGGGACAATATATAGATCAGATACATTAGTTATTAAAAAGTAAATTTTTTCTTATAAATAGAACCGAAGGGAGTAGTATTTATCAGTAATTAATATTCATTGTTTCTAGTTCAAAAGGAGAACATAAATGAAAGTACCTTTATTTCACAACTTCCCAGATAGTCACACTTCACATTGTTCGGAATACACTCGTAAAGATTGAAACGGAGAGTTCCTGCATTATCATGCATAACCATATTAAACGATGCATCCCATCTAGGCGTTGAACCCAGTCTGACGTCTGTTCTCCTCGTTAATTCCTCAATTTCTACCTCTACAAATGTGTGTAAGTCCTTGTCGTCAAAAACGTCTTCTGATGAAGAACCATTGGATGATCCATTTTGTTGCCTCCTAGATGCCTTGAAGGAACTCCTAGAAAGTTTATTTGCTGAAATCACTCTAACATATATGATCGCTCCAACCGCCTTTTTTCTTAAATCAACAGCAGGCAAAGTGAAACATCGCCGTCGAGGTTCCACCATGGTTTTAACCAAGGTATCAGTAAAAAGCTTTTCCTGCATAGCAGAAAAAATGTAATTGATATATGCTACGACAAAGAGCTTATAAGACTAAACATGAGCTTATAAGACTAAACATGTAATTGATATTTGTAAAAACAATTGTTCCTCACTCATCAATATAAATACGGGCAATTTAATAATATTAAAATTAGTCGAAACGCACCAGCCAGGAAGAAACACCAGGCCACTCAGTAGCTGGAAGTGACTGACTTCCACCACTTCCAAAGGCAACTCCTACTCTCACCTCAGGAGTCGATACAAATGAATATAAAAGTGCTTTTCCATCTAGAATCGGCGTTAAGATAAGCTGCAAAATCAATATGAATGGTAGAAAAATCAAACCAACTTATTTTTTTCATAATCTCCTATTTTATATAGCTTTTGTTATGTTAAAAAAAATGGAAAGAATATTGCTTTACATACATCACCCTTGATATGAAGATTGTTAATCACGATTCGTGCAGTTCCCATCAATGGTTTCGCTAGCTTAGCAAGCATCAAAATGCTCATTTCATTGGTGTCCCAATCAAAGCCAAGTTGCATAACTCGCTGTAAAATACAAATATAATCTCTTTAACAAAATCTCATATCTTGTGATTAAACATCTAAAAAGTTACATTTACTACTGATATTTGAAATGTGAAGAGAACTAAAACCTGATCGCCGATAGTTGACCACCGCATCCCTTGCAAGGCTAAGCTAGGAGGGCATGATCCTAGTGAAAACTCCTGCAGCTCAACTCTTTCCTACACACAAGAATTTCTCTAGTTCAGCACATATATGAAATGTTCAAACTGTTTTCGGAATACTGATAACAAGTGTCATAGAAAAACCAAAAATATAGAAATTTACTCACAAGAAGTCTTGGTTTCCGGAGCTTTAAACGTGCCTAGAGAAACGAAAAAAGAAAAGGAAGAAGAAAATTAGTTCATGTCTGAAAGCATGTCGAATAGAATGGAGCAGAGGCGGTGAAGTTTCACCTCAACTATAGCTTTTAACCTTGATGAAAGCTTGGGATTAAAATAGTTGGGCCAGATTTCAGTCAACAATTTATTCAGCCATTCACAGTGCTCCAATGGTGTAATGGGCTATATGAAAAGAAAATTGAAGTCAGCTTCATAAACAAAACACATTGGCAATGCCAAAGGAAGAACAGGTAAGAGAAGATACCGAGTTATTCAATATTATTCTCTTCCATTTCTTATCCAAATCCTCCACAAGTAGTTTGCGTTGGTATCTCCCATACTGAAATTTAAAGAGCAGAATCGCACATTAGAAACCGACATGTGTTAGACACTGATACATGTAATTACATTCAATATTCAACATATGTAGCACTAACATTTCAGATCAAAAATGTGTTTCTTATCCGACATCTGAGACCGACACGTGTGATTACATTCAACCACTAACTAATTCTTTTCCCCAATTTCAGTACTAAATTGAGTATGTATTCACTTATTTCATGAAATTACCCTAATTTAACTAAATTCCAAAACTAAGAATGTATTTTAAATTAGAACCAAATTAATCATCCAAGATAATTCTTACCAAAGTACATACATATATTTATAAAATAGAATTCAATACAAGAGTGATGATCAATAGAGTAAGAAAAAAGAGAGAGCAAAACCTGTATAGTTGCCCAAACAGCAAGTGCAAGAGGAACCCAAGTAGAGAAAGAGAAGACCCATTTCTCAATAACCAAAGCAATCAAAATAAATGGAATGAAAAACGAAATCTTTGGCTTCTCCTGCAAAAGATAGTTGAAGAAATCCACAGCAACCTCTTCAATATTTTCAATGGAAAATACCCTTTTCTTTCTACTCATTTTTATGCTTTGCTTGCACCAAAATCAAACCAAAAAATCCAACTTTTTTATGTATATGAATCTCTGATCAAAGACCAAGGTCAACTACTCAAAAGGGTATGGCAAGTTTTTAAGGAAGAAGATGAAAATGATTTCGAAGTTGACAAATTCTGAAGGGTTGGAAAATTTCAGAGAGAGAGAGAGAGAAGTTGAAAAGTCAGCTGAGAGGAACCGTTAAGAAAAAATCCTTAATTTATGCAAACATTTGTTGTTGTCTGAAATTGAACAGAATCAAATGATGACTGAGTTGAATAGAAAAAATGCTACCACAGTTTCTTGTCTCTTTCGTTTGTGTCTTTTTCATTAATTCATGTTAAAAAAAAATTAAAAAAAACCAACTTCATGAGTAGATAGATCTATGTTGAGTTTTTTTTAGTATTTAATTGAATTTATTGTTATAGTTAAGTTATTACTATAAATAAATAAAAATGGAAGAATGTTTTAGTAGATCCCAAAAACGGTTTATTTGCCTAAGTTGTAATCAAGTTTTATAACATTTCCATTTTAATAACGGATGAATTTTCTTTTACTATAAGTGATAATTTTTCACAATAGGTGTGTAGTACCAAAGGTTTTTTTTTTGTCAAATTGAAATCAAGAATTTTTTGGTTAAAGTTTATGTTTTGGATTTGTTTAGTGACTAGGATAGGATAAAATAATACTACTAAATATTGATTTGTTTTTGTTTTAAATGATTTTTATATTATTAAATATTTTTGTTAAAAATAATTTAAAATTGTTTTACAAAAATATTTTAATAAAAAACTAATTTAAATTGTTTTTCATAAAATATTATTCTAGATATTCTATCGTTTTGCTATGATATTTTATAATATTAAAATTTTAAAATATCGATTAAAGTTGAAATTATTTAAAATAATTTTTATAAAAATAATTTTTGAGATATATATTTTTTTAAATCATGTAATTTTAAATATGTTAAAAAATTTAATAATTAATATTTAAGTTATTGAGATGTCAAAATTATCCTTTTAATTTATAAAAAATAGATTTGAAATAACTTTTATTAATTTTTAAAAGTTCTAGTAAAAATAATTTTAAAAATACAAAAACAAAGTTAAATCTAGTACAAGTGGGTCAAGTATCTAATTTTTAATAATACATTGAAATATGATATATTAATTTTAAAATTTATTAATACCATATTTAATAAGTTAAATTTAGTTTTACAGTATGAAGTCAATAAGATATAATAAAAAAAATTATTTTGTGAAATTATCCTATAAAATATTGAAAAATAATTTGATATTATATTAACAAACCAATTAATTTTTTAAAATATGTATGATTTTGTAATTTAAATAAACTAAAAGAATAAAAAAATTATTAAAATTTGAATATCTAAAAATAAAACTATTATAAAAAATCGTAAAAATATGAATTTAAATTTTGTTAGTAGGTTAAATATGGATTGCTTGCAAAGGTGGTTAAATATGTGGCACCAAAAGAGATCATTTATAGGATTTTAAGGCTATTACGGTCAAATGTTTTAGGAGAGATTCTTTTAGGATTTTTTATGAATGGAATGAAAAGAATAAGGAGTAGAATATAGGAATCGTTTTTCGAAAACATAAGAAGTTGGTTTATTAAAGCGTCTTTGTAACTTTTGTAACAAATTTTCATAGTGGATTAGAGAATTGTTCTCTCTTTAAAGCGTAAATCAATTTGATTAAACTTAATAAATAAATATTAGTGTTTTTTTTTATATTAAACTTTATCTTATTATTTGGTTATTGTGTGTTTGTTCCTCATTAAAGTAGTTATTATTGCTTTGAGTTGTTTTAGTTTTTTGTTGGCAGTATTATTTGTTCATCGCACACTATTCTTCTTGTTAACTTAACAAAAGTAGTTTCATTTCAAATCACCCGTCAACAAGTGGCACCCATCATAGGAGATAAGGGACAAATATTTCAAGTGAGTATTATGAGTATTAAATGAGACATTGATAAGTGTTTCAAAAATAATAATTTAGATTGTAGAAAGTGAATATACAAGTAATTTTAATTCAACAAATGTGTGCAGAGACGTTGAAGGGTGACACATTGATGCTAACAAGCCTAACAAGATGATATGTCCGAGATGGTGGATAGGCGAGTAGTGTCATTATTGTATGTCTAAGAGATAAAGTATTGAGTTAAGTCAAGAAGGAGAAACCACAACTAAAATATGGGTGAAGCTTGAACTGTTGTATATAACCAAATTGTTGGTTCAAGGGTTGTGATTGACACATAAATTATACTCATTTAGGATAGTAGAATCATATCACATTGTAGAGTCATTAGCAGATTTCAATAAAATCATTGATGACTTGCAAAATATTGAGATTAAAGTTTGATGTTGAGGAATTGACTATACTTTTTTGGATTCATTACTTAGATATTTTGAGCATTTTGAGGATGTTTTTATTTTATAGAAAGGAAGGAAACATCACCTTAGATAAGGTCCAATCGACTATTAGAACTAAAGAGTTAACCAAGATGAGAGGGCAGAAGGTTGATGATAGTAGTGAAGGATTGAATGCTTAAAGGGGGAAATGAGAATAAATGAAACCTTGAGGGGGCAGAAATCTAGTTTAATGTCTGAGTCAAATGGTGTTGACAAGTCAAAGTAGAGTAATTTACTTGTTACAAGACCTACCATTTCACGAAGTATTTTCTGACATGGGGGAAATGAAAATTTCATTCCAATTGTGGTGGCCTTATATGAGGGTTATAAAAGTGTGGGTGCACCAGGGGTGACAAGTTGAGAAACTTAAAAAAGCTACAAAATGACTACTTTGAGATCCTAAGGCTAAAAGAAGGTGGAGTTGCTCGACTAAAAAATTATAAAGATTATAAGGCCCAACGTATGAGTTGTATTAGCCTAAAGAGGTCAGATAATCATGAGCTTTATCTAAACAATGTGAGGTATGTTCCTGTTTGCCGTGTTAATTGGTAAACAACCACTGATCTTCCAAAAAGGGTAATTTTTTGGTTACTCGCAGGATCGATCAGTTTGACCCTAGGACATATGCTAATTATTGGTGTTGTTTGGATATAAATGCTAATATAAATAAAGAAAACGCGTTTGACTGAGAAATGTTGAGGTTTGAAATGAGTTTGAGTGTAGAAAGTAAATAGAAAAGGGGTTAAGAAGAGTTTAAGTGCAGAAATCTGATAAAAAGTGCAAGTAAAGTGCAAGGGAAAATAGATTTTTTGCAAGTAAGATAAAAAGGCAAGGAATGTAAAGAGGAATATAAAAGACTTTGATTATAAAATGTGGTGTTTCAAACGTACATTATCAGTATTCTTTCTCACGCAGCGGGTACTCGAATAGTATTGAATGACTTGTACAGTTAGTTGAACACACAGAAATCTACATAAACTTCCTATATTTATACTAGAACTAGGTAACCGTCGAGGAGTTACTTTGCTCTAGGATGAGGACAAGTGTCTTCTGCATATGCTTCAACCTTTATCTTCATGTCACGTTACTTTCCTCAACTGCCAAGCGAACTGGTTTTCCCTCCTTTCTTCAGATTCAAAATCACATGTTGTTGCTACGAGGTTTCCTTTTAGTCGAAGGCCCTGGAGCCCTTTTAGTCGAAGGCTGCAAGAACCTTCTGGTCAAAGATTAACTTTAACTTAGAAATTTCTCTAAGTACTTTCCAATCTGTCGAAGTATTTCCAGCTTAGATTTGTTCAATCTATTTTTGGTCCATAAGGCCAATTTGTTGTGGGTGTCGAATTTAGGAGCTAACAAATTGCCCCCCAAGAATGTCAATTTCGATGCAAGAAGAAATGATCATTCTTTGAGATTCCCATTCGACACCTCTCTTCTTTTTGGCCACAGAAGTCAACTGTGCGCTTTTCGCCTTCTACCAACCACTGGTGGTATTTAGAGTCATCATTACCTTTTTCCCAACACGTCACTGTCAATCAGCCGTTACTACGCTGCCATGATGGCCATTATCCCTACAACCTAGGAAAGTATGGCAAACGTTTCCATTACCTGTACGATAACTGACTCAATGCTCACCACGTGCCCCACTAACTCTGCAGCATTAAATGGTCTTGAAAGAAAACACTCTTCCCTGAATACTATAAATAGCCACGAATCCTTTTATTTGGAATTTTTTACAACTATAAATAGCATTAAATGGTCTTAAGAACTTCATCTTCTTCATTCTTTCACTACCTTCAACCATGGCTTTCCTTTCAAACGCACCAAACAATCCCAAAACTAAGAACATTTCTGACTTACAACGACAACCAGAGATCTTTTCCACTAGTCCTATTCCTATTTCGAATGGGGAGCGAAGGGTTGTTTCTAAACCCATGACCAGAGAATGGCGTGAAGCTTATGACTCTCAGTTACTCATTCCCGTTAAGTATTTTGGGCACATGTATGCCATATTTAGCCCACTATCTGCATGCTTCGAGAACCCAAAACAAAATAATACCTTCTTCCCAACTCACCCTAGGCTCAAGCCTATAGGTTGCGCGAAGAAACCCAGGAATGACCCTGAGGATGCAACCCCTGCTAACCAGCAACACTCTCAAATGAAGGAAGACATCAACCTTAAGTTTATGAACACGGGGAACAGGATCTTTCGATCTTTCCCTAGTCTTACTTTAGAGTATTCAGAATGGCTAAGTAAGACGGAAAAAGTACAGGCCTAAATCTGGAAGGATATGGGGATTTATGACTTGGTCATGCTGTCGAAGATTGGGTTATCTTATTTCCCTCTCATGTTGGTATCTTCGCTGTATTTTTGGGATAGTACGCATTTCACCTTCCATTTACCCAGTGGAATGGTGACCCCAACTCTTTTCGACATAGCAGCCATTACTGGTCTTCGACCAACTGCTGACTATTTTGACCCTGAAGATTTGTCTGAAGATACTATCGGGTTTTCGGCCACGAAACCCACATACACCATATTCATCAACCACTTTCAC